GCTGAAGACAAATGTGTCCCAAGTGTCCTCATGGACCTTGAAAGTCTGTGTCTGCACAGAACGGGGGTCAGAGGGGGCCAGACACTCAGGGCTCCCAGCCCCTTTCCCACACCTGTCCCTAGCCTGGGCTTGCTGCTGCGTTCTCACAGTGTGGTTGGTCCTGGGGCAGATGGCAATGCTCAGCATGGAACCTCCTCACCAACTTCCCTGTCTCTGAGATGCTAGCTTGCTCACAACAGTCAAAGCTCCAGAGCTTGGGGCCATGGAGCACTGTGACAGATGACACAGGAGGAAGCAGGATTGAGTCCTGATGCCCTCTGACCCTTGCTTGGAGAAAGAGGGAAGGAAGTGGGATGGGGAGAGAGCCCCCTCCTTACAGGGGCCTGCGTGGGCCAGAGAGGCCTGGGCCTGGCCCTGTGACTTTTTACACGGCAAGGGAAGCTGGGGGTTGTGTGCCAGACATGGTGGCCCAGTAATCTACTTGGCCCAAGTACTGTTATTTTACTTATTCATTTTTAGGAAAGCAAGTGCCTTTTTTTGTTGTTGTTGTTGTTAGTCTTGGGCCTAGGCACTGTCCCTGAGCTCTTCAGCTCAATGCTAGCACTCTACCGCATAAGCCACAGCACCACTTCTGGTTTTCTGGTGGTTCATTGGAGATAAGAGTCTCACAGACTTTCCTGCCTGGGCTGGCTTTAAACTGTGATCCTCAGATCCCAGCCTCCTGAGTAGCTAGGATAACAGGCGTGAGCCACCAGCGCCTGGCCACAAGTGGCATTTTTTCAGGCTGGAAGCATGGCTCCATGGGAGAGCATCTACCTAGCAAGCAAGAAGCCCTGAGTTTAAGCTCCAGTCCCACTGTAGAAATATACATAAATACACTCTATGCACGCATGCCACCCTCCCACCGCAGCCCCATGGCATTCACCTGGCTTGCTCACATCAGTCTCTTTCCCATATCCCCTACAGTGTTCGAGTTCTCTTTGATTTCTCTTTTCTAGAGCTGGGGTTTGAATATAGAGTTCTGTTTGTGCTAGGCGAGCACTTTCTCACCCCGCTACCTTCCCCAACCAAGGAGATTCGTGACCCGGCCTCTTCTAGATGCATGTGCATTTCATTTAAGAGTTGACAGGCTACAGTAGGAAACAGACTTGGTCCCGGGAAGGAGGCTGCGGGGACACAGGTGTCCTCAGTCCAGGCTCATGGAGCTGGTGTAAACTTCACTCCACTATCAGCGGCTGGGACTGCTCAGGCTGGTCCCCTGATGCATGTACTGGGGTTTGAACTCAGGGCCTGGGTAACCTCCCTTGAGCTATTTTGTTCAAGGCTAGCACTTGGTCAATTGAGAGAGCTGTGGAGCTCTGCTTCTAATTTTTTGGGGTGGCTACTCGGAGATAAGAGACTCATGGACTTTCTGCCCAGGCTGATTTTTAATATTGATCCTCAGATCTCAGCCTCCTGAGTAGCTAGGATTACAGGTGTGAGCACTCAATGCCCAGTAAGCTCTGTTTCTTTTCTTTTCTTTTTGTCGGTCATGGGGTTTGAGATCTGGGCTTGGGTGCTGTCCCTCAGCTCCTCAGCTATAGCACTCTAACACTTGAGCCACAGCTGCACTTCCAGTTTTCTGGTGGTTCATTGGAGATAAGAGTCTCACGGACTTTCCTGCCCTAGCTGGCTTTGAACCTTTATCCTCAGATCTCAGCCTCCTGAATAGCTAGGATGACAGGCATGAGCACCAGCGCCCAGCAAGCTCTGTTTCTTACTTTCCCTTCACTCCTGATCTTTCTTCCAGGGCCTTCTAAGGTCCCTAGCCCTTCCCCATGGCCCCCTGCAGCTAGGGGAAGGCAGCCTCCACCCACGGCCCAGGCCCAGCATCCCCCACCTGTACAGCCACAGGTCTGACTAGCCTCATGGGCTTGGCACTTGCTCCCTGCAATAATTTCCCTTCCAGCAGGCTAATATAAATAGCAGCCACTGCAGAAATCAGCGCCCAGCTCCATTTGTGGCTCTCTAGGCTGCCTCCCACCTTTCGGTTCCTCCAACTCCCCACACACACGCCCCTTCACCCCTCATTAGCTCAGCCTCCACACGTTTCTCTTCCTCTGCCCCGGGGGGAGGGGGACCTTCCCCCACTCCTCCTTACCCCGACATGGAAATTTCCAGGGCCACTTTCTCAGGGAAACTTTCCTAAGTCTTTTCCTACCACAACTTCCTGACTCATGGTTTCCCACAACTTCCCGCATTTTCTTTCCATTGCACTGAAATCAAATGGAAATCTGTGCTTACCTCTGTGGAGCTGTGTCCCCTCCAAGAAGTTGGGCATGTCCATCAGGATCCATTTTGTTTGCCATGAGGGCTCCAGCAGAGATCAGGCAGGTAGCAGATGCTCGAAGGGCCTAATCTTGGTGAGTCAGTGAATGAATCAATGAATGAATGAATGAATGCTTACATGGCTTTCTGGGTTTCTCCAGTAGTGGCCCAAAAGGGGGCTGAGGATAGATTCACACACTGAGCCTGGCTCTATGAAAGCTCTTCTCCTGGGAGTCTTCCTTATTGTTTGCCCCTGTGGCCCTCAGTCTCCCCTCCCTGCCCCGCCCCGCCCTCCACTTCTTTCCAAACACTTGTTCGTATTTCTCCTGGCTGCTATGTGAAGATTGACAAGTGAACTGGGCATGATGGCGCATGCCTGTAATACAGCACTCTGGAGGCTGAGACACAGGGATTGGGAGTTGGAGGCCAGCCCAGGCTTCATAGCAAGATCATTCCCAAATACACAGAGCAACAGACAGACAGACAGACAGACACAAACAGAAAGAGAGCAGGAGATGAACATATGTGGGAAGTGCCCTGGAAACTTATTAAGACTGTGTCTTCCATTCTCCCTGGAACCTTGCCTGTACCTAGTAAACATGGATACCAATGTCTTAGCAGTGGGCTGGGATGTAGCTCAGTGGCAAAGTGCTTATAATGCAATGTCCCAGGTTCAATCCCCAGCACCAAAAAAAAGAAAAGACAAAAGGTATATAGTTTAAAAAAAAAAAAAAAAAAACCAGCTGGGTGCCGGTGGCTCACGCCTGTAATCCTAGCTACTCAGGAGGCTGAGATGTGAGGATCATAGTTTGAAGCTAACCCAGGTAGAAAAGTCTTCGAGACTCTTACCAATAAACTACTCAGCCAAAGCTGAAAGTAGTGCTGTGGCTCAAGTGGTAGTGCGCTAGCCTTGAACACAAAAGGGCTCAGAGACAGCACCCCAGGCCCTGAGTTCGAACCCCAGGACTGGAAAAAATAAAAAAGAGTCTCATTGACTTTCCTGCATAGGTTGGCTTCAGACCATGATCCTCAGATCTCAGCCTCCTGATTAGAGAGGATTACAACATGAACCATTGTATACTTGTTCTTCAATGAACGTGTATTATTTCGTAATAAGAACATTAGGTTTTATTTACAGAGCATTGCTGCTTTCTGAGGATCCTGGGGACAGGAAGTACAGGGACTTCCTGCATGCACTTCCTGTCTGCACAAAGGCTCCAAGTCTACTTGTGTTCCTCAGATACACATGCATGGTGTAGCATTTTCTATGGCATAACAGGAAAATGATTGCACATCTTAGAAATACGCTCTCAACAAATGTAATGGGATCGGGGCCCGTATTTGCTTTATTTATGACCTCTGAGTACGAGAGTTCAGGAGTATAAAAAATTTTCAATGAAACCAGTTAAAGAAATAGCTAACTCTTCCAAGTGTGACTAGGCAACTCTTTGTGGTAAGATCATGGGTGATTGTGTTTCTCGTTTTCCTTCCTTGTTTTTCCTAATGTCTCTGTGATAATTATGTGTTGGCATAGTAAGGATGAAAAGGCAATTACTCTGAAGCCTACGGAAACTGTCTTTGCAGTGGAATGTTTACCTGAGGGGCTCAGCTAGGCGCCGGTGGGCACTGGTGAGTGCTGGTGGCCAGAATTCTAGCTATGGAGGAGACTGAGATCTGGAGAATCACAGCTCGAAATCAGCCCAGACTCACTGCATCGCCAAAGTAGGAGACACTCCATCTCCAACATAACCAGCAAAAAGCTGGACTGGATGGTTCAAATTGTAGAGCACCTACATAACAAGCAAGCAGAACCCTTGAGTTCAAATCCCAGTACTGGGGAGAACAAGTGTTTTTAGGGGGTTGTGTGACTTACTAAAAGATCATGGATTGGAGAGTTAGGGAGACTGGGTTTTTATTGGTCCATATTAAGTTGTCCATAGTAAGGGGTTTCATTGTGACCCTTCCACACATAGAATGTACTTTGATCATATTTGCTCCCTTTATTACTCTCCCTTAGTCTCCCTTGTAGTCACTTGGGTACCTATCTCTGACCCCACAGAAAATCATTAGCCTCCTGCGTGCTCATTCATTCATTCATGCATGAACATTTGTTGAGCTTCTGCTAAGTAGCTGTGCCTGATGCTGGGTAGAGAGTAGCAGAGAAACAAGAGGTGGTTCCTACACATACACACACACACACACACACACACACACACACACACACACACACACACACACACACACACACACAATCAGTCCCTTTAATTCTTGATAGCCACTTGAGCTAGGTATTATCCTCATATTATCCATGAGGAAACTGAAGCGCAGAGATGATACACTTGTGGTACATACCAGAGTGTGCCCTACTATGGGCTATGCCACACTCAAAAACATAACTTCCAGGCCCATGACATTTGTGGATTTTTTAAAAAGGGCCTTGAGGAGGCATTGGGGAAAATTGCCACACCTGGTCTCAGGGCACAAGCAAAACTTTTCACCTGAGATCTCACGGGCGAGAAGGAGTCCCTCGAGGGAAGAGCCAGAGCCAGAGAGTCTGGGCAGGAAGAAATGCAAAGAGAAGAGAGGCTGTGAACATGCACAGTGGACGCGCGTGGTAGACCCTGAGTGGCAGGCAGGGTGGGGAGTGCTGGCAATGGTAATGACCCTGCTTGCTGTCCCTGCCACCACCCCAGATGCTGCTGGCCAGAGCTCTTTATGACAACCGCCCTGACTGCTGCGACGAGCTGGCTTTCTCCAAGGGAGATATCCTGATGGTGCTGGAGCAGAATGTGCCAGAAAGCGAGGGCTGGTGGAAGTGTCTGCTCCACGGGAGGCAAGGCCTGGCCCCCGCCAACCGCCTCCTCATCCTCCCGGAGGTCCCCCCAGACAGGCCCTGCCCCCTATTCCTGAGGGGCCTGGAGAATGACCTCGCTGGCTCAGAAGGGACCTACGAGGTGCCCACCCCACGGCCCCCTCTCCGGCCCGGCCCTGTGTACGAGCCCATGAAGAGCTGGGTGGAGGGGCCTCCGCTGCCCACCGCCCAGGTCTATGTACTTCCTGAGCCACCGTCCCAGGCCAGGGCCATCTGTGAAAAGACTCTCAGCTTCCCCGAACAGGTGAGCATCCTTCCCCATGACAGGGCTGGCCGGTGGGGACAGCCATTCCCCTCCTGTCACCACTGGCCCACAGCTCCGCTGTGAGGACAAGGCCAGTGTAGGTGCCCAGGAAAGACAGGCTGGTGCTCAGGCCCAGTGTCTCTTCACACACCCTGTCATCCTGTGATTGGCCGGCTCACCAAGCCTGGCCCGTCCCTTCATACCCTGTCATCCTGTGATTGGCCGGCTCCCCACACCTGGCCTATTCGTAGCCTGTGGGTGGCTCTGTGGAGCCATGATGTGTGAGCACACTGCGGCTCACTACGGCCACCGGTGATGAAGCAGGTTGAGTTTCTATTTACACACACACACACACACACACACACACACACACACACACACACTCCCTCCATCCCCAAACTTTCCTTCTTGAATCATCACACAGATAGATGCACACAAAGCATGTATTAACCTAGGTATGGAGGCACAGCCACCATACCATCTTTAGGTTTGCCGGGGAAGTGGGGGGTTGGTTATTATTTTTGTTTTTGATAGGATTTTGCTACATGGCCCAGATTAGCCTTGAACTTGTTTTGTAGTCCAGGCTGGCCTGAACTTTCTTTTTCTTTTTTTTTTTGTCGGTCGTGAGGGCTGAACTCTGGGCCTGGGCGCTGTCCCTCAGCTCTTTAGCTCAAAGCTAGTGCGCTACCACTTGAGCCATAGCGCCACTTCTGGCTTTTTTTTCTGCTGATGTGGTGCTGAGGAATCGAACCCAGGGCCTCATGCATGTGAAGCAAGCGCTCTACCACTGAGCCACCTTCCCAGCCCTGGCCTGAATTTTCTTGACCCTCCTGTCTCCATCGGAATAGCGTAATGTGTGTTCAAGAAATGCTTGCATATATATGAGCAGGGGACTGGCTACAAAAGCTTGAGCCTATGGCACAGTGAACTCTACAACGCAGGTGTGATAAAAGAATTGGTTCTTTTTCTTTTTTGGTTGTGGGGCTTGAACTCTGGGCGTGGGCTCTGTTCCTCAGCTCTTCAGCTCAAGGCAAGCCCTCTACTGCTTGAGCCACAGCGCCACTTCCAGTTTTTGAGTGGTTTATTGGAGATAAGAGTCTCACAGACTTTCCTGCCCGGGCTGGCTTTGAACTGAGATCCTCAGATCTCAGCCTCTTGAGTAGCTAGGATGACAGGTGTGAGCCACCAGCGCCCGGCTAGGAATTGTTTCTATGAGGTGTTTCTAAGGGGAAAGAGCAATTCAACAATCAAGGACCAAACAAACAAACCTCAAAAAAAAATGTGCATGCACAGTGATGTGGATGCGGACATGCACCCTCCCCCACACTTCTCACACATAGGAAAGATCTAGATGAACCCCTAGATTCCTCTCAGGGCAGTGGAACTGATTAGAGAGAAAGAAGAAGAAAGCAGGAAATAAAGACCTTTATTTTATTCAGTCCTGTGTCCCGAAGTTCCTGCATCACACCTGGTGTAGAGTAGGTGCTCAATAAATATAAACCAAAGAGAGTCAAGAGTTGATTACAATATCTGTAATGTTTATAACATCAGTTTTTTTGAAAATGAAGAAGAAGAAGCACTTGGTAAATGCACAATGGCAACTTAAAAAACAACGAGCGGAATTAACAAGAAGAAAGCAGGCCAATGGATCTTGCCTGTCATCCTAGCTGATCAGGAGGCTGAGATCTGAGGGTGGAGGTCTGAACCCAGCCTAAAAACTCTTATGGATCCATGAAGCTCTTATCTCCAATTAACCACCAAAAAGCTGGAAGTGGAGCTGTGGTTTAACCTAAAAACTGTGAGGGACAGCACCCAGACCCAGAATTCAAGTCTGAATCCTGGCAGGTGCATGCATACCTCCTCTCCCCCTACACACACATGCACAGAAGAAATTGGGCAGATAATCAGCCTGCCCTACCCTCGCTGGCATGCTGTTATGGAGAGCAGGCGTGAATTGCTTGATCACGGATGGCATTTCCTGCCATCTGCCACTCTGCTTTCCATGCTCTGGCAGAGGCCTTGGCACGGTCTGCATTCCTGGTGGAGAGACCATGCCCCTGACATGCAGCAGGCCCCGAACGTGCCACTTCCTGTTTCCTAACACGCTACCTTCCACCCAGAGTCATCCCTTCAAAAAACCCCAAAACTTCTATTTCCTGACGCCAGCTCCAGATGCCAGGAGGAAGCTGAGAGAGTCTGCCTCGATTTTTCTGGAACACACAGCCAGATGGGCAGATGCTCAAGCCGCTGACTCGTGCTGGACCTTGGCAGTGTGTCTTTCAAGGACAAGCCACAGGAGCTGAAGTTAATTTCAACTTCTTCCCAAAACTATTAAAGAAAACAATCTACCAGAGGCTATCTCCTCTCCCTGGAAGGTGAAAGTGTCCCTAGGACCCATCCCAGTGCCGGGCTCCTGCAGGTACCTCAGCAAACATGGAAGAACGAAGCCACACGCCCCAAGACCCCACTTTCAGCTCCAGGGCTGGCGCTGGTGGGATGGGAAGATGGGTGTAGCACCGAAGCAGCATTGAGCATGAAGCACAGGGCACCAGCTGTTAAGAGCTGGACTTGGCACAAACCATGGCAATGGGGGCTTCTGCCCTACAGAAACCAAGAAAAACCACAGCCAGGGAGGGGAATTCAGGGACTCTCTGCCACCAAGCAGCTCCTGGGGGAAGGAGAAACCTCCAGGGACTTCCCTGGCTTTTCTCTTCCAAGTCTCTCCCACCTGCCCCTACGATGGATTTGATTTTGCTTTTCTCCTGTTTCTTCCTTTTCTTTTTCTCTCCCTCCTTCCCATCCTCCCTTCTACTCTACCTTACATCCTTTCTCCTCTGCAACCTCTTCTCTTTTCCCTCTGCTTATTTACACTTCTTGCCCAGCTGGGATTACAGATATGTACTACCATACCCAGCTTTTTTTTTTTTTTTTGTCAGTTGTGGGGCTTGAACTCAGGGCCTATGTGCTATCCCTAAATTTTTTTGTTCAAGCCTAGTACTCTACCACTTTGAGCCACAGCACCACTGAGTTTTCTGGTGGTTAATTGATAATAAAAGTCTCGTGGACTTTTCTGCCCAGGCTGGCTCTGAACCACGATCCTTAGAACTCAGTCTCCTGAGTAGCTAGGATTACAGGTGTGAGCCACCAATGCCCCACTCCACACTCAGCTTTTATGAGGGAGACTTTTTACCTTGACTGACTCCCAACTAAGATCCTTCCTATCTCTTCCTCTGAGTAGCTGGGATTATAAACATGAGCCACTGGGCTCAGCTCTATGGAGCTTTTCGTTAAACTCACCTTCAGATCCTAAGAGCATTGCTCAGCCTCTAGTATAAATCGAGACATTGAACAAAACCAGGTCTCCTCCACCCAAGTCTCCCCTCTTTCTTTGCCACTTCCCCACTAGGGCAGCCATGAACCTCAGCTTTGTTTTACTTTTTATTTCAACTTCCTTAATATAATAGACAGGCGTGACTTAAAACCAAAACTACAGAAATGACCACATAAGAAACATAATCAATTTTGATTGAAGTCCCCATCAGGGGTAAGATCTCTTGGTGAAGTTGTTCTTAGACCCACTAGTTCCTAACCTGGGATTTCTGCTCCCTTTTGAAACCCCGTTTCTCATACATGTTCCTTAACTGATGGTCCCTCCCCACCTCCACCCCCAAGCCTACGTTTTTCCAAGAAGCACTAGGCATGTTTGAAGTGGCATCATTCGGTCTGAAATGCCACCCTCAGGAAAGTCCCTGGGTTCTGTAGGTGTTCTTGTAGGCAAGCACAGTGTACCCGGGCAGCCAGGTGAATGACATGGGCCTGAAGTCCTGAGGGAGGGAAAGAGGCAGGGCAGCATTTGAGGAGAGTCTGCATCAGGGCAGATCTAGTGTGTCGGGACGGGTGGAGGATGGATGGGAGGGTGGGTAGCACTGGTAGTCAGGAACACACTGTACTGGGTGGTCCCTGGGCTTGGTAGTATATGATGTCTTGGCCATGTTTAGGGGAGAGGACTCAACTCAAAATGTAACGGGAGCCATTGATGGCCTGGGCCAATCAGCATAGAAGCACCAAGGTCAGAGTCAGGGTCATGGGCTATAATAAGGAAGATTCCAGAACACAGGAACCTGGAAGCATCTCTCAGAGGAAAGGATGGTGTTGTTATGGGATGAGAGGAATAAATATAGCCAACGCTGTTTTGCGATAGTCTCAAAGGGGACAAACAGCAGCCCAGGCTGCACAAAGGGGAGACAGAGGTATGGAAGGCTGGCGCTGGGGGAGTCTGCTCCTTTGTGCACAAGACTCAGGCTCTCCAGGGAGATGTGGGATGTTTCCTTCTTAACCAGGGCACTTCAGAGAGCCCTGCTTCCCAGAACCCAGGTTTTTACACACCCAGCTTCCTTTGCTAGGAAGAAAGGAGCTGCCAATTATTGGCCCCATACCTGTGCTAGCCATGCCTGTGGGTGCAGCCTGGTGAAGCCAGACTGGCTAATTGCTCCCATCTCAAACTAGCCACATTCATTCACCCAAAACAAACAAATGCTGGCCCTTCACTGCGCCATCCCTGTGCTGGGTCCTGGAGACACTGATGATAAAAGGACTCTGGTCTGGTCCTCAGGAGCTTCTCCTACATCTGAGCTGCCTCCTTCCTGTCCACATTTAAATCATCCTGACTCCCTCTCACCTCTGTGAGCCAACTTGGAAATCCCCTACTCAATGACAGGTTCCTTGGACCTCAGACAGAAGCTACATTCTCCCAGTGCTGGAGTTCAGAAACTGAGTCTTCCCAGCTCATCTTGTTCTCCAGCCTGTGCTGAATCATACTGGAACCCAACTTCCTTTCACTTTATATATAATAAGTCCCTGGCAGCCAGCAGCCTTCAGCTTACACACACACACACACACACACACACACACACACACACACACACACACACACACACACACACACACACACACACACCCCGAAGCCTTGCCCAGTGATATTCTAGTTCGAAGATCTAAGATAGAAGCATGAGAATCTGAGTTGAAGTTCACTAAATAAAGGCCAGGCAACTATAGCCCACGCCCATAATCCTAGCTACTCAGGAGGATGATTGTGGTTTGAAGCCAGCCTGGGCACAAAAGTACATGAGACTCTTTATCTCCAATTAACGACTAGAAAACCAGAAATGACACTGTAGCTCAAAGTGGTAGAATGAGTGAAAGAGCTCAGGAACAGTGCCCAGGCCCTGAGTTTAAGCCCCATGACTGACCAAAAGAAAAAGTTCACCAGATAACTCAGGTTTCTATCTGGGCTGCCACAGCTGCCCCTGTAGCATAGAATTGGCAGCTCTGAGCTCCACAATCAAACCAGCCTTGCCTTCCACCTCATAAGCTCATACTCCATAGGCTCAGTGCTGTAGCTGAGTGGGTTCTCCCCAGAACTAGGTCTTTAGTCATGTAAATCTACAGTGAGTCCTGCAGCTCCTCTCCGTGACCACCTACATCTGTGTCCCTTTCACTCTGCCCCTCTCCTGCCTGCACTCACTCCCCTGTCAACATCTCTTCTGCTTCCCACTCATTCCAGCAAAATCTGTCACTCACAGTTTCTCTGAACACCTCCTACTTCCCAATCTTCTCTCACACCTAAGCAGAACGTTCTGTTTCCTATAGACCTTGTTAGTTCCTCCATTGTGTACTTGGAAAGTCAGCTCTGCCTGACTTTGGCTGGCAGCTACTGTTCTGGCAGCTTTAGATGATCTGTGTGCTGGTGGCTAACATGTGTAATCCTAGTTTCTTAGAAGGCAGAGATAGAGAGGACCATGGTTCAAGGCCATTCTGAGGACACAGTGATCTAAACCTGCCATCCTACCTTCCTGGGGAGCATAAATAGGCAGATTGTGGCCTAGGTGCTCAGCTGGGCAGGAAGCTAGTCCATATCTCAAAGTTAACCAATTGCAGAAAGGGATCAGGGGTATGACTCAGTGGAGTGGCACCTGCCTGGTGATGAATTCAAGCCCCAGAAGCGCTAAAAGAAAAAACAAAAACAAAGTTTTAGGTGAATATATGAATAGCTCAGTGTCAGAGACCCAGTCTCTCTGTCCTTAGAATCATTGAGCAAGCTTACTTATACAGCAGGTCCCTGGGGCCTCTCAGCAGTTGGAAGCATAGCATGGAGCCAAAGCCGGTGCATCCTAACCTGCTTCCCAGGCGAGGTAACACAGGCAGCTATGGTCCACCCCGGGAGGAAGCCGGCCCTCCTCCATGAGACCCCCCACAGTGTCCTGCTCTCATCTCCACAGGGAGGGATCTGCCCACCAGTGGTACTGGCAAATGCAGTGTCTGCCTGGCCGACCCTGCTGCCTGGGGCGTCCTTTGAAGGTACAGTGGTAACCAGTGTAACATGTCCTTTCGCTTAGCTCCCTTCTTTTTCTTTCCAAGGCCCTTTTTGTGTTTCCCAGACCCACCAGGGCCTGGCTGCCAACTCAGCCTTCCCAGGTGTACGACATGCCTGCCCAGAGCCGGGTCCACTCAACGCTTAAGGTGAGTCTTCTTGAGCAGCACTGCTTCCCCCAGAGCTGAGTGCTGAGTCATAAGACACTGCATTCACCTTCCTAGAGTGGAGTCCTCAGTGGGGTAGAACTTCTCCTGCCCAGGACAACATCACCACTCATGACTAACTGCGTCACCACCCTCGTGCCCAGGAGCCCGGCGCAGATATTTTTGAAATCTTACTTTTACTTTATAATACGTATTTTATTATGTGCATGTATATGCACATACATGCATTTATTTTAAAACAACAACAACAATATCATGCCAGGCATGGAAGCTTATGTCTATAATCCTAACTACTCAGAAGGCTAAAATCTGAGCGTCAAGTTTGAAACCCAGCATGGCAGACAAATCCAAGAGCCTCTGAGCTCAAGCCGTAATACCAGCACACACACACACACACACACACACACACACTTTTTTTTTCTGTAGTGCTGGACTCAGTATTCTAAGCAAGCAGTCTAGCCTTGAGCCACATCGGTAGGCCTAAAAAAATAACAGGGCTGGGAAGGTGGCTCAGTGACAGAGTGCTTGCCTTGCATGCATGAGACCCTGGGTTCGATTCCTCAGCACCACATAAATAGAAGAAGCCAGAAATGCTGCTGTAGCCCAAGTGGTAGAGCGCTCACCTCGAGCTGAAGAGTCGAGGGGCAGCGCCCAGGCCCAGAGTTCAAGCCCCACGACTGACCAAAAAAAAAAAAAAAATCCTTAACAATACTTGACCCAGTCTTAACATTGTACTATATTATACAATTAATATTTCCTGATTGCTATTCACATTAATCATCTAATATAGTACATTATTTAACATATTTGCGTCACAGGCACCAAAGGAGCTTGAGCGGGCAGTAGCAGTCATGTCTTTAAGAAACGCAGTGCCGGGGCTGGGAAGGTAGCTCAGCAGTAGAGTGCATGCCTTGCAAGCATGAGGCCCTGGGTTCGATTCCTCAGCACCACATAAACAGAAAAGGCCGGAAGTGGCGCTGTGGTTCCAGTGGTAGAGCACTAGCCTTGAGCTGAAGAGCTGAGGGACAGTGCCCAGACCAAGAGTTCAGGCCCCATGACCGGCAAAAAAAAAAAAAAAAAGAAACGCAGTGCCTGGTTCTTAGCAGGTCCTCAAGTTTGTCAAATCAGTCACCCAAATCTTTTCTGTGTGTGTGTGCCAGTCCTGTGGCTCAAACTCAGGGCCTGGGCACTGTCCCTGAGCTTCTTTTGTTCAAGCCAAGTGTTCTACCACTTAAGTTATAGGTCCATGTCTGGCCTTTTGGTAATTTTTGTTTGTTTTGTTGGTTGGTTAGGGTTTTATTTGCCAGTCCTGGGACTTGAACTCAGGGCCTGGATACTGTCTCTAAGCTTCTTTGTACTCAAGACTATCACTCTACCATTTGAGCCACAGTGCCACTTCTGGTTTTTTCTGAGTAGCTTATTGGAGATTAGAGTCTCACGGATTACAATCATGAATCACTGGTGCCTGGCTCCTTTTGGTAGTTTTCACTAGAGATCAAAGTCTCATAGGCTTTCCTGCCCAGGCTGGCTTCGAACTGTAATCCTCATATCTCAGCCTCCCAAGAAGATAGGATTACAGGCGTGAGCCACTGGTGCCTAGCAAACCCTCTTTAAAAATGTTAATAAGTAGTTTTACAAAGAAGTTATACTTCCATAAGTCAGGGTAAGAGTACTGTACATTTTGAACAAAGTCACCCCTTCCATCCTTCTCCTCCATCTTACCCCACAGACCTTCTTTTGTGTGTGCCAGTACTGGGGCTTAAACTCAGGGCCTGGATGCTGTCCCTTAATTTTTCACTCTACTTTTACCTTTTGTGCTGGTTAGTTGGAGATGAGAGTCTCCTGGATTTATCTTCCTGGGTTGGCTTCAAACTGGGCTCCTCAAATCTCATGCTCCTGAGTAGCTAGGGTTACAGGTGTGAGCCACCGGTGTCCAGCTCAAACAACCCCCCCTTTTTTGTTATCATTACTATAGGCATATGATGCCATTTGGCTTAGTGCCTAGTAGCTCATAGGCAGTCAAGACATATTTTCAGGTGAACACGAGTGAAAGGCAGAATGTGCTACCAGGAAAAATACACACCAAAAATGCAGACTCATTAGGTCCAGTCCCACGCTCTCTGGTGTCGTTCTGTGTTAAGGCCTACCTCCCTCTGTTTGCGCTGCAGTGAGCCCCATGGCTTTTCTCTATCGTCAGTGAGAAAGGCACTTTCGAAAGCACCAAGTGCATTGCTAAAGGTCATCCATGCAGCTCAAAGATGTCTTTCTGAAGAGCTCCAGGACTGAGAGCCCCAAAGGGTGTTTAGAAACCTGCATCTTCCTCTGGAGAAACCACTGGGGTGTGGACAGTTTGTGCTGGCCACCATTGCTGAGAAAAAATCAGAACTGTTTCCCTCGTGATCTTTTCCTAGGAGCCGGAGAAGCAGCCATTGTACGACGTACCAGCCAGCCCCCAGAAGGCCGCCCTCCACCCCCCGGCCAGCCACGTCAGCGTGAGTATGGATGCATCCACACGGAGGCGCGAGGCCCTCAAATCTAGCGTCCTCTGGGAAATGTTATTAGCTTCCATGGCTGAGGCAAACAGCTCACAAGGTTCACAGGGTTCAGCCCATGTTGGGTTGGCTGGTTGCTGAGCCTGGGGGGGGGCTTCACTGGTCATGGTGGGCCTATCAGCCACCTGTGCCCCACTGTGATCAACAAATTCAAGGCAGGAGGTACTTACTTTTCTAACTGTTTAGAAAGAATCCGTCCACAGTGTGTTGGTCCTCTGCTCCCGGGCAGAGCATCCTGGCTGAGAGAGGGTGTGGCACCAGCTACTCACCTCACGGTGGTCAGGAAGCAGACAGAGTGAGCCAAGATGGAGTCAGAGACAAGATGCCTGTTCCCCCCCCCGACCCCCCCAACTCCCCCCCCCCACATGCCACCAAGGGACCTACTTTCTCTAGCTAGGGATCTATCCCCTAAAGTTTCCAGAACTTCCCAAAATAGTGCCACAAGCTAGAGACTAAGTGGCCAATATAGGAGCTAGGAGTGGTGAGGGTCATTTCATTTCTTTTTTTTTTTTCCTTGGTGAGGAGGGGTCATACTGGGATTTGAACTCAGAGCCTTGTACTTTCTAGGCAGTCATTCTATCACTCAAGCCAGCCCAGGAGAGGGGAGCATTTCCTAGCAAACTAACACTGGAAGTGCATGGTACAGCAAAGACATTCTACTGTTGGTGACCAGGAAGTAAAAGTGGCAGAGGAGGGAGGGAAATGGTTGGAGTCTCCACCCCTCACCCGACAGGCGCCTGTGTGAGGCATTCCAGAGCTTAAGCCGCAGTACCGGATTCAAAGATCTCACTTGAAGCTTGTGTGACTCAACCACATTGGCTCCAACCACACAAGGCCCGCAAACACAGTCCCTCGAGGCTACTGGGGAAACCTTACAAAGGGGCGGCATTTCAGCAGGCTTCGTGAGGGCTGTGTAGGAGTTTGTTAGATGGAAAAGGAAGGGTTGGAAAGACGGTTGGAGCAGAAGGACCCATTTGGGGAAAATAAAATACAGTGTATAAGTCTTCTGAGCTGGGGGGTGGGGGGTGACAGGTAAGTAAGACAGGGCTGTCATGGAAGAAGCAGAGAGACAGAGGCACAAAAGGAAGGAAGAGCCTTGAGCGGGCGCCCCGTGGGGCGCAGAGGTGGCAGCCAGACTCCACTGAGCACCGAGGCTTCTTGCTATGGCCACTCCCCTGAGCAGCCGTGCATGTCTCCCTCCCCAGGAGCCCGGGATCGTCCTGACAGCAGCCGCGGCTGTGGGGAGCTCCAGCTGCCACACGTTACCAAACCCTCAGAAACCAGCACGGACCTACGACATCCCGTCTCCCCGAAGTGCCAGTGTGACAAGCCCATCCTTACCCAGCCCGCAGGCAGAAGTGGAGCCCCGTGCGGGCCCCGCTTCCTTCTCTCCAGTCCCCAACCCCCCCAGCAGCCGTGCCAGGAGTGTCCCCCCACAGCCCGGCGACAACATGCTCAGGCAGAAAAAATCCAGCCTCCCAGACGTCTCTCCTCACCCCTGCGCAGCGCCTCGGGACTCGCTCCGGTCAGAGGCCGGCGTCAGCTACAAGGTACCGTCCAGCTTTCTGGTGCCCCGGGTGGAGCAGCAGAACACCACGCCCAACATTTACGCCATCCCTAAGGCCTTGTCAGGTGTGCTCCAGCCCGGAAGTGAGCGGGGCAAAGCCAAGCAGGCTCCGGAGACTCCCCCAGGCCACGATTCGTCCTGGTTCTCCCGGCCGACAACCTCCCTGTCCCACGAGCCCCACCGGTTATCCGTCTCCAGCTCAGACAGCAGCAGGGCGAGTGTCATGTCTTCCTGCTCCTCCATGTCAGCTGACTCCTCCAGCAGCTCCTCTTCAGAGCTCGCCCTGGACCTGGATCCCGACACGGCCAAGGAGACAGCGATGGCCCTGCAGCACCAGGTGGTCGGCTCTGCGGCAGGCCTGCTGCTCTTCGTGAATAGGAAGTGGAGGTTCAGAGACTCTCTGGAGACCCACGTCCACGCCATCCGCCAGGCCGCTGGCCACGTCGAGGAATCTTTAAGGCAATTTCTGGATTTTGCGCAAGGCGTTCGTGGGTCGGCCTGCCACCTCACAGACCATCATCTGCAGGCTAGAATTCAAAATCAGCTCCAAACCATCTCCAACTCCTACCAGATCCTGCTGGAAGCAAAGGGAAGCCTAGACAGCTACAAGTGGTCTCTGGACATTCTTGGCACGGATCAAGTCCCGAACAGCTCTGATGACCTTGAGAGGTTTGTCATGGTGGCTCGGATAGTTCCAGAAGATGTCAAGAAGTTCGCCTCCATTGTCATTGCCAACGCGAGGCTCCTTTTCACTCAGAACGGTCAAAAAGAAGAGCTCGTGCAATTAATCCCAAATGCCGGCCCCCAGCATGAGACATGCACACAGAGTCCCTTTCCCAAGGAAAAGGAAAGTGAACTCTCCACTGAACTGGGGAAGAAGAGTGGAATGGACACCAGTGGGCAGGTGAGTTCCGGGTTCTGAGGGGTAACAGGGCCTCCCACCGGGTGCCCGGACAGGGGCGTGTCAGGGAAGGGGCTGGGATTCTCCCTCCATAAACCCAGGGCTCTGGGAAAACAGCAGCTCCATTTCCCAGAAAATAAAATTCAAGGGCATAAGCCTCTAGATCAAATGGTTTTTTAGGGAGTAAGATCTTAGTATCTGGGCAAATAGATCAGCAGATTTCAATGGTTTTTTTTTTTTTTTTTCACCTTGAAATATTTGGACTTCCGTTTTATCTCTGCAAATAGGATCAGAAAGGATTTTTGAAATCTTTCATCCAAGCCTACCTAGGAATGCCTGCCTAGCAAGCTTGAAGCCCTGAGTTCAAATCTTAGGACTGCACATTCTAGAAATGTGAATAAAATTTTAATTTTTATAGGTGTACATGATTCTTTTGCAGTAATGAGGATTGAATCTAAGCTTCAGGCTCACTAGGCAAGTGCTTCACCACCCGAATCAGACCTTCAGTGTTTCCTCGTAAGGGAGTGGACACCACCTTCAATGTTTATTTGCCTGTAGTTGATTTTGCTGTTTGTGGTGGTGGTCATGGGGCTTGAACTCACGGCCTGGGGGCTATCCCTGAGCTTTTCTGCTCAAGGCTAGCAACTCTAGCACTTTGAACCACAGCTCCACTTCCAGTTTTCTGGCAGTTAATTGAGATAAACATCTCAGGGATTTTTTTTCCCAGGCTGGCTTTGAACCATGGTCCTCAAATCTCAGCCTCCTGAATAGCTAGGATGGCCGCTGTAGCAGTTATTTTCAAGTGGAGAGGCTGACAGTCTAGTATCTGGCTCTTGGTTCTTCCTGCTTCTAGCCGCGACCTTATCCTCTCTGCTTTCAATACAATTCCATTTCCACCCACACCTCACCTTTTCTCACTTTCCACTAAAAAACACTCATTGCTTTCATTTTCCATGTTCCCTATGAAATCCTAATAACAAATGTACATCTCCAAAGTATGCCGCCCTCCTCCCTTCCAAACGCACCAGCCCTGGTGACAAGACCTCTTCTGACACCACCCCCTGCCTGGCCCTGTCTCCAGGAGTCCACCGACAAATGAGAGGAGGCAGAGGGGAAGGGAAAGAGAGTTTCTGACTTAGCCAATTGACTTGGAGCTTCAGACTCGTGACTTGCTAACTGGATGGCCCCTGCAGCCATCCTGCAGCTCCTGCTCTGAGACATTTCCCTTACTCATAAAACTGCAAAGGGAGGCTTGAGTGGAGCTCAGTGGTACAGCACCTGCCCTAGCGTGTGAAAGGCCCTGGGTTCAACTCCTAGCACAACAACAACAAAAGGGTAAATAAAAAAATCAAGAAGGACCGGGTGGCGGTGGCTCACACCTGTAATGCTAGCTACTCAGGAGATCCGAGCTGAGACCTGAGGATCACAGTTCAAAGTCAGTCCAGCAGGAAAGTCCATGAGACTCCTCTCCAATGAACCACCAGAAAACTGGAAGTGGTGCTGTCGCTCAAGTGGTAGAACACTCACCTTGAGCTGAGGGACAGTGCCCAGGCCTAGAGTTCAAGCCCCACAGCAGACAAAAAAAAAAAATCACAAAGGAGCTTTGGATTGTTACCTGCTTGCCACTTCCTTAAGATGCTGGGTATCCTTCAATACGCCTGGCTCTGGGGAGACAATGATACCATTTTCCAGAAGGAAAATTTTGTGAAAATAAGTTTTTGGTTAGCTGGGTACCTGGTGGTGCAGGTCTATAATCCTAACTATTCTGGAGCTGGGATCTGAGGATTGTGGTTCAAAGCCAGCCTGGGCAGGAAAGTAAGAGTCTTATTGCCAATTAACCACCAAAAAGCTAGATGTGTAGGCATGGTTCAAGTAGTAGAGTGCTGGCCTTGAGCAGAAAAGCCAAGCAAGAACACAAAGCCCTGGTATCAGCATACACACACACACACACACACACAGACACACACACACAGACACACACACACACACACACAATTGACAAAGCCTTATTATCAAATGAACTTTTTTGGGGGGGGCGGGTGTAGACAAGAGACTGTCCTGGGGCTTGAACTCAAGGCCTCACACTTGCCTAGGCAAATGCTTCCTCTTGAGCAATACCCTCAGCCTCCTTTTGCTTTTGCCCAGGCCTGACTGGACTTGGTCATCCTGCATAAGCCTCCCTTGTAGCTAGGATTGTAGGTATTCATTGCATATCTGTTTCCTTTCCCATGTGGCTGAAAGATAAAATACACTCATTGCCAATATGCTCTTTAGAAGAGGTTTCTCTGATTTACTGAAAGGGCTGAGTAAAGTTTTATGCGTGTGCTGGGTACTGGTAGCTCATGCCTGTAATACTAGCTATTCGAGAGGCTGAGATCTGAAATCATGGTTTAAAGCCAGCAGAAAAGTCTGTGAGGCTCTTATCTCCAATGAACCACCAGAAAACTGGAAGTGAAGCTGTGACGCAAAGTGGTAGAGCGCTAGCCTTGAGCAAAAAGAGCTCTGGGTCAATACTCACACTGGGAGCTCAAGCCCCACAACTGATAAAAAAAAATTATACGTGTGTGTTACAATACATAATATATAATACAAATGTCTATCTGCAGGATTATCTGTAGCAGGACTTTGCAAACATCAACATTAATTTCTTGGACAAATGTTGTAGTATCAAGTTTTCCCTAACCAGACTGCGCACGTTGTCATAAAAGTTCTTGCAGATTGAGCAACCACAGGAAGAGGAAGGCGACCACAGCCTCCTCATCCGTCTGTACCTTACCGCTTTTCCTCTTCCTCTTCCTCAGGGTCCTAGCTCTCTTGTGCCCCAACCCTTGAGTCAGCAGACCCTTGAGAGGAAAATCCGCCTCTCTGAACACTGCCGGCTGTATTTTGGGGCGCTCCTCAAAGCCGTCCGTGTGTTTGCCAGCAGCCTCCACAGCAGCCCAGCCCCTGAGGTCTTCATCTCTCAGAGCAAGCTGGTGATCACGGCCGGGCAGAAGCTGGTGGACACGCTGTGTGCGGAGACCCGGGAGAAGGATGCGCACCATGAGATCCTCTGCAGAAGCAGTTACCTCTGTGGGCTGCTCAGGGACCTGGCGCTGGCCACCAAGAGCGCGGTGCTCCAGCACCCCAGCCCGGCAGCCCTGGAGCACCTCCGGGCAGAGGCCCAGAGGCTGGAGCACCACGTGCAGCAATTCAGGGGGACGCTGGATTGAAGTGCGGCTCCTCTTTCTCTCCGAGGCTCACTCTCGGTTAAGCTTCATTCCATGACCTGGCCAGAAGCCAACAGCTACCGTGCCCAGAGCTGGGATCACCCCTGAGTGGTAAACACACACAAGGAGTTTGCCCCAAGGGAGCCAGGAGAGTCAAGGCCAAGGTCATGACTTGGTGAAGTAGAGCGGGCCTTGACTGGTTACATGGGTCAGTGCTTGAGATGACATCATGGATGCCACTTTTTATAGTAGTTAAATGTGCGCTCGGTTTACATTCATTCACGCAACACTTGTTTATTGGGTATCAATTAATGTCATCTCATGGGGACTGGAGTTCATCTTTCCTGTACAAAACTCATAGTGCAGCAAGGAGGTAGATGGAAGTACAAGATACCAGGCCCAAGGCTGGGAAGATGGCTCAGTGGTAGAGTGCTTGCCTAGCATGCATGAGGCCCTGGGTTTGATTCCTCAGCACCACATACAGAAAAAGCCAGAAGTGGTGCTGTGGCTCAAGTGGTAGAGTGCTAGCCTTGAGCAAAAGAAGCTCAGGGACAGTGCCCAGCCCTGAGTTCAAGCCCAGGACTGGCAACACACACACACACACACACACACACACACACACACAATAGCAGGCCACTAGGAAGAACATGGAGTTGGAGAAGGAAAGAGAAGGGAACCATTTTCAAATGATTTTCTGTTGCACCCATTAGAAAAATGCAATAAGCTTTTATTTTCATTTGTGAATTAATTCTGTAAGACATGTAAAAATTATGCGCCTGTGTTTCTATCACTGAGAGTGAGAGAGAATGGTGCTGCTAGAGATTGAACCCAAGCTTCACACCTGCAAAGCATGTGACCACCCACTGAAGAACCTGAGCCCCAATATATAACTATATTTTTGCTGTGTTATCTTATCCAAGTTAAGATGCATATTCTTTTTCACAGACTGTCTTCTGTTGGGTTCTACCCTACCTTATTTTGCAGTTACATGCTACAAAACCACTCCGCTGATAAAGTTTCTGCTATTCCGTTAGAAAATGTTCAGACATCAGCACTCTCAAACCTGTTGCAATCTATGATACTATTTAAATATAATCATGAATGTAAGCACCATTTGCAGTGAGCCCTTCTCTTGGAAAGGTGTTTTTTTTGGTTTTTTTTTTTTTTTTTGGATCCACATGGTTGAAGGTCTGGTACCAAAATAAAGCGTTGGCTATATCCTTTAGTTCTTCCTCTGAAGTCTGTATGCAATGCTTAGAACCCAAGTTCTTATGTGCTAGGCTATCTCTGGAAAGTAAAATCACCACTTGGTGGGAGGTGCAGTGGGGGTGCAGACAGGGAGCCGATGCCCATCAGTGGGCACAGACAGAAGCGTTGCTGAGCTCCCCCCTATGGTTATACCATTGTGTCTCTCTCCTCGGTGAGGTCCTTATGTCTCACCTGCACCTCAGCCCTATAAACAGCATCTCCAGGCCACATGTCCTGAGCCGATGCCAAGTCCAGCTCTGGGCCCGTCCTCCCAGCTTGATGGGCACCTTCAAAGTGTCCACTGCAGCAGGCTGGCTGTTTTTATGGAGCTGATCACCGAGGAGCACTAAAAAGGAGGGTGCCACGTTGTGAGCTGGACAGAGACCTTAGCGGGCCTCCAGCTGGGAACAGCAGGATCCACTTTAGCTGGGACCTGTTCCAAGAAAACCACTCCCAAAGTGGTGGACGCAGCAGAGAGCATGTGTGAGCTCTGGGTCCCAGACTAAGCTGAGCAGACTCGCTGCCTGCTGGTTGGTTTTAGGGGATTCAGCAACTATGTAGCCTAAGGTCGTCGGCTTGTGCTTTCTGCCTCCCTTCTGTAATCACAGGAACAGGATGGCTGTCACGGTGATGTCCTTCTTCAGGAGGGAGGGAGCCAAAGTGGAGTGTCCCCCACAATCCAGTCTCTCTGTCTCTGTCTCTTACACACACACACACACACACACACACACACACACACACACACACACACACACACACACACACACTCCGGGACAGCTTTGATCAGAACTTTGAGTTGCCTAAGGTTTTAGCCTTAACAAGCCTTAACAGATGCTGAGAGAAGACATGACACTCTGGAATCCGCTCCCTCCCACCTCCTTGCTCCCTCCCCGCCCCCCACTGCTCCCACCCCAGGGTCCAGTGAGTCATCAGGGAAGGACATGCAGGATGCGGGTCCAGTCAGACTCACTGCTATGATTCAACTCAGTGAAAGGACACAGAGTAAAATCAGAAAGGGAAGGGTCACCTGGGGAAGCCTGGACACGCTTCAGCGTCCTCCCTCTCCCAGACAATGACCTCTGAGCATGCGCATGGTACCCCATCAAGGGAAGCTCAGGAGTGCCGCTGAAATGTAGCTGAGAGTCTCCAGTGTAGCTCATTGCTAGGAGTCAGTCAGGTAAGCAGCCCTGCCTGGCACACATCAAACTACCAAGCTGTCAGAACAAAGCGTAAAGCAGCCATCCCACACCAAAGTGTTTCTACAGTCAGGCACAACCAGCCACTCTGATCCTTCTGGAAATAGTGGAGACCTTCGTGGATTCCCACAGCCAACCAAAGGCCAACCCTGAAATCAGGTGGTTCTAAAGGTGCTAGTCTGACATGAACACGAACTTTAGCCTTTCTTTAAAAATTGTTCTTAGGGACTGGGACTGTGGCTTAGTGGTACAGTGCTTGCCTAGCATGCATGAAGCCCTGGGTTCAATTCCTCAGTACCACATACACAGAAAAGGCCGGAAGTGGTGCTGTGGCTGAAGTGGTAGAGTGCTAGCCTTGAGCACAGAGATGCTCGGGGACAGTGCACAGCCCTGACTCCAAACCCCAGGACCGACCAAAAAAAAAAAAAAAATGTCCTTAGCTGGGTGCTGGTGGCTCACACCTGTAATCCCAGCTACTCAGGAGGCTGAGATCTGAAGATCAAAGTTCAAAACCAGCCTAGGCAGAAAAGTCCCTGTGAGACTCTTATCTCCAGTTAACCATTCAAAAACTGGAAGTAGAGCTGAGGTTCAAAGTGTAAGAGTGCTAGCCTTGAGTAAAAGAGCTCAGGGACAGCACCCAGGCCCCGAGTTCAAACCCCATGACCACCACCACCAACAAAAATTATCCTGAAGTTGTAGTGCAAAGGGTTTCGATTCCACATGCCAGTTTATGAATGCATCATGGTCGCTGTCACCCCATTCATCCTCCTCCCCTGTCTCCAGCTCCTCAAGCTCCTCACAATTCTCCATTGTACCATTTGTCCCTGGAACCACAGGAGGCACTGAGGATGTGCATGCCTGGGCTTCTATTCAAGCCTTGAAACCCTCAGCCTAGAACCTCCACCCTCTTACAATGGGCTCTGAGCAGAGCTGACTGACCTTTGCCTTGGAGAGAGGCTCCATCTTTATTATATCACCAACCAACCAACCTGCCCCCTGCTCTCCCGAAAACAGCTCTGCCTCCCAAGGTTCTTGCTTACAACATCTTTGAAAAGATGGCCAGGAACCAAATGTCTTGTACTCAGAAGATGTGTGGAAATGTGCAGTACCCATGGGAGACTGTCTTCTAACAAGAAATACAAGTTTAGCGCAATGGACAGGCATTCTACACATCCGTTCTGGCCACTCATGCTTCTATGCCAAATACACCAAAGAGACAAGGTGAAGGGCAGAGAAAGATTTACTATGCGGCATGAGCAGCCAGGGAAGACAGCACTTCAGCCTGTCCTCAGCCATCTTCTGGGTCTAGACATGAAGTTTAAATAGATGAAAAGCGGGGGCAGGGAGAGTCCAGTCTCAGGATTGCGTGGATGGGGGTGGGGCCTTGTTACAAGGCCTGGCAGGTAGCTGGGTCCCTGACTACGCCTCCCTGACTTTTAAGATGGCTGAGGAGTCACTGCAAGAGAGAGTGGTTTAGGGCAAAGGACACAGACATGAAGAGGAGGCTGGGATGTCTAATTTTTTTTCTCCAGCTTTTGTTCATTCATAGTGCTAAGTGGGGAGCCTGTGCCTCTCAGCAAAAGCAGCTTTGAAGCATCTGTAACATTACTTTTTTCCATTGATGTTGATCACAGCATGTATTTATTAAATAATTACTACTAAAGCAGTGATCTGGGACCTTGTACGCTCTCAGTCCTAAGTGACACATTCTCTAGTGGGTAATTAACATGACCCCTCCTCCCCACCTTTTTTTGTCTGAGAAGTTAAAAACCAAGGAATGTTGTTGGTACAAAATGATGGCAATGGCTCTTAGTAAAAAAAGGGGGGGTCATTTCCTTCCCTTTTTGTTGAAGGAGAATGCTTCTAGGCAAACATTCACTAATACACAGGATGATTGCTTCAGAAAAAAAATCTAACAAAATGGAATATATCTTTTTTTTAAGCTCTTGGCACCTCTTTGCTAAACATTTGTGTCAAATAGCCCAGAATTGTTTACCATTTCCACCAAGGGAAGAGGAAATGGTAGATGGTGTGGTGGTAACAGCTTGACCCCAATTAAGTTAAATTCACCAGGAGGATGGAAGTGGTCGAGCTGCCACTGATCTTTGCATGTGACAAGCGCTCGCGGAGTCACCCGTCTGGTTAGCAGCCTCTCTTCTTTTTCTTCTCACTCCCTTCCTTCCTCTCTCGGCAAGGCAAGTTTTCTACCACTTCGTTTTATCCCCAGCCCTAATTTTTTTGTTGGTCCTGGAGCTTGAAATGAATTCTACTGCGGGAGCCACACTCTTAGCTCTTCTGTTTGAGTCTTGTGCTTTGAAATAGGGTGTCATTAACTTTGCCCAGGGTGGACTCAAAGTCTCAATCCTAAGGCTCATGAGGGCAAACATGCATAAACTATATGCAATATTTCCTATGTGCTAGTAAATACCCTCTGACAAAAAGTCTAGAGTTTCAATCAAATTACAAAAAGAAACCATGGGTTTTGTTTGTCTGTCGGTCGTGGGGCTTGAACTTTGGGCTTGAGCACTGTCCCTCAGCTCTCCAGCTCAAGGCTAGTGC